TTCATTACTATTTCTCACTTCTATACTTTTTTCATTGGTGTCATTCTTATGTAGTTTAATGTGCGGAATTCTAAAGATGGAACTGATTTCAACTGTTTCGTATTTCTGTTTTTGACTTTCCTTATCTATATTTAAAATTTGTATTTGTTGAAAAGATATTTTTTGATTAACTTTATCATATTAATGTTCATTTTTTTGTTAGAAATTGAGTTTTACTAGATTCTTCTAAACATTTCTGTAGACATTATTTTTTTATCGATTGGTAATGGTTGCTTTCATTATTTGTTTTTCTAAAATATTTTCTGTTGAAATGAGTATACTGAATATATTTTATTAGAGAAATTTAGTATTTTTCTATCATTGTTTTTTAGGTAATATTTTTTTCGAAAAATCAAAATATAATCTAAGATCTATCATCATATCTTCAATTCAATATAAAGGTTGCGCTACATCTTTTTATTTTTAAATAATTTATCAGTTTTAATTACAATTTTTTCATGTTACTCTTTGAAATTCTTCTGCTAAATTCTTTTCATTATGCACGATTAATTTTGTGTAACTATACGATCTAAGAGATCGAGTGGGCGATTCAAATTAACGAATAACGATCAGAATCTTTTCGAGTATTCTCCTTTCGTCTTCTCTCTAGTAATCTATTTGTCAAAACGATTGGTAGTTATTTATTAATAATACTTTGTGGAGATGGTGAATTCTTAAATAATGAATAAAAATGGAAATAAAAAAAGATATCAATTCATCTTTTTTCTTTGTTTAATTGAAACGTTACGCTTTATATATCTCAATAAAAGATAGAAATGATTCATAACATATTTTTAAAAAAAATTAAATCATTCTTTCATTGTTTTTTATTCAATCTAATTTTCTGTATTAAATTTTTTCTTTAAAAGAAAAGACTTTTTAATTTTTAAAATTACATTTCTTCTTCTTAAAAATATATTTCAATTACCTTTAAATTGCTTATAAAATTATTATATAAAAATTCCTTCTACGGAATCAAAATTTTATCAAAATTTATACAATAACATTTTATAAAATTACATAATCATAATATCGTAAATAAAAAAAAAAAGAATAATATCCAAAAAATATCAAAGCGAGTTATCATATGACAGTCATGCTAAAAGGTATCTAAAGCTGTGAAAAATTTGAAATGAAAATAGTCAGTTTCCTTTGTATATTCCTATCGCATAATTCTTCACCCCGAGGAAAGATCTTTCGTCAAGATCGAAACGCAATCGCGAAGATAAGATGGGTAATAATGTTCGCCAACGACCCAGACGACGAGAACTTTTGTCGCAGTTGAATCAAAACCGTGAAGAAGGTGGCGCGATACAGAGCTCTCCCAATCTAGATCCAGTGGAAGTCGTGTTAATAAACTCCCTGGTGGCCGTCTTCTTATCGCCTGTTCACATCGTGGCTTAAATGGCGAATTAAGGTCGCATAGCCGTTGATCTAGGACAATCGCCAATGACTTACTTGATTCTGCTGTGCATCATTTTCTACTGCTCGTTAAACTTGGATAAGAATCTCGTGGGGCTTTCTAGTGGTACACGTGCCATTCCCGAAGTCAAGAACCTTCAAAAAGTTCTATCTTCGTTCTAAGAAATTGTTGTGTCGCGGATTCAAGAGTTGTACAAGTTGGAATAATATTTTATCGTTATGTGATTTATTAGATATTATATAAATTATGAATCTCAGAATCCATTGATAACTTTATATTCGCGTTTATTAAATAAATTAAAGGATTCATAATAAAACAGATATAATATATGGAATTTGTATAACAATGTACAATTATTCAAAAAAATTTAAATTTCTCGAAAAAAATTGAAGATGTTAAGAAGACGAATATTGGTAAAAATCGTTTTTTATGAGAACCATTAAATTACTGACTAGATAATAATAAAATTTGAGAAGAGAATGATTTAATTATAGTATTTTTCTTGAAAAATATTGTCAACGAAAAGCAAAGTTCAAAAATATATATATATCCAGAGTTTGATAAAGTATTTCAAAGCCGATGAAACGTCGATTTAACCAAAGAAACTTCTGTCCATCGATTAAACGATATTTTAAGAGGATGGACTGCTTAAATCATGATAAGACGGTATCCATTGTGTCGACTTTCTCGAATGCAGCTCGAGTTGTATTTATACAAGAGGACCCGAGGCCACTATTGAAAAAGTCCTGGAGATTAATATTTCTGAAATACCAGTTATGAATCCCTCGTGCACGAGAACGAAGAATCTTTCAACAATTTTTGTTTTGTATAGTAATTTGTTGAAATTTTCTCGCACAAGAGAAAATGAAAGACGTATTGAAAGATTTGAATGCATTGTATACTATTCTGTTTCGTCTAATATGTATCGTCAACGAGTATTGTATCGTTAAGTAAGATTGAAAATGATTCTTTGGCATTTAATTTTCGATTTATCTCAAATATTCAATGCAGTTTTTATTATTACTATTTACTGTAGAGATTGATGAAAGAAATTGGAAACTTGTTAATAACTTGGATGTTTTTGAAGAAGACCAACAATTTATTGTACAATATATATTTTAAAATATTTAAAACATTTTAAAATTCATAATTACTATTAAAAAAAAATGCATAAAAAATATAATCTTATTGATTTTCATGAAAAAAATATTCCATTTTTTTCTTATCACTGAATTGAAAAGTTCAATAAAACAAAACTTGTTAAGTCAAAAAAAAAAAA